GTAGAGTGCATTGCAGTAATCCAGACGTGAGGTTACCAAAGCGTGTATCGCAATTTCCAGATCCCTCATGTCCAGGTAAGGGCGCAGTTGGCATATCAGCCGAAGCTGATAACAGGCACTCCTGACCGTCGCATTCACCTGACTAGTCATGTGAAGTGATAAATCTAGGAGTACCCCCAAGCTGCGAACACAGTCCTTAGAGGAGAGTGTGACCCCATCCAGGACTGGAAGTTGTATTCCCAGACCTGGTTTCAGGCCCATAACTGTCAGTACCTCTGTTTTGTCTGGATTTAGTTTCAATCTGTTTTTCCTCTTCCAATCCATTACTGCTCTGAGACAGTCATTGAGAGGAGAGACACCATCTGAAGTCTGAGCCGATGCTCTGGTCATGGAGAAGTATATCTGGGTGTTGTCAGTGTACTGATGACACCGCGCTCCATGCCTCTGGAAGATATCACCTAGTGGCTTCATGTAGATGTTAAATAGCATCGGGAACAAGATGGCACCCTGAGGGATGCCACAATTAAGCTCTATTTTGGAAGAGCAACTGTCCCCGAGCCTCACCCTCTGGGATCTGCCTGAGAGAAAGGAACGGAACCACCGCAATGCAGTGTCTCCGATTCCCAATTTTCTCAGCCAATCCAAGAGGATGGAATGATCTATTTTGTCAAAAGCCACTGAGAGATCCAAGAGCACCAACAGGGTCACACTACCCCTGTCGATGCCCAAGCAGAGGTCATGGGCCAGAGCGACCATGGTAGTCTCCACTCCATATCCTGTCCTGAAGCTGGTTTGAAATGGATCAAGATAATCAGTTTCATCCAAGACAACTTGGAGTTGGGAGGCAACTGCCCTCTCGATCACCTTGCTTTAAAAAGGTAGCAAGGAGACTGGTCTATAGTTGTTTCTATCCAGGGGGTCCAGGGAAAGTTTTTTCAGGAGTGGCTTAACTGCTGCCTCCTTCAAACAAGATGGTACAGTACCTTCCCTGAAGGATGCATTGATTGCATCCTGTAGGAATACTCTCATTGCATCCCCCCCCCCC